CCGTTCGTGGATTCTCGTGTTTAGGCAAGAATCAGGTACGTCACATTGCTGGCATATTGTACGCATATCCACTGATATCAAGAACGGTATTCATAATTTGCAATCATCTGATGACAACAATGAACGGAGAACAGAACGAGCGCTTACATTGATCAAATGCAGATAGCGTGGCTCAGTTCAAGTATAACAGAGAGATAGTTTTTTCGATCTTATTTGAAGGAATACAAGGAATGCGAGCCAAACAATTTATCTCAAGCGGCTCTTCAAGACTCCGATTACGAGGCTGTAGATCCGTGGGAGGCCGATCGCAAAGAGGCAATGCGGCAGCTATATCCAGATTATTTTGTTGCAGACGGAACGAACTCGAGAGTAACGTCCGATTCGGCAATCGTACCAATTCGTAAACCAAATTATCGAAAGCCGAAAACCACTGCAAAAAATTCATTGCGTGAGATTTTCATTTTACCGTTTGCAAAACAATAGGAGAATATTTGGAATTTTTCATGCCTTTCACGAAATCACTTCAACTATAACTGAAATTTGTTTGAACAAACTCTCGGTGAGGAGAACAACGGAAATTGTTGCCATTTCATTGTGATGAATGCCCAAAAAATTAGGCATATGGAATTTAAAGCTGAAATTATGTTCAATCGGATGATCAACGATGTTTTTGTTGAGGTGGTGTTGAAGAGCACAGAGCGCGTGGCTCAAAAACTGAAAACAACGGTACGAAACCACTGAAAATACCTTCGCATAACCATGCCAGTCACAAAAATAACGTTCACAGTGCGCAAGAGAATGACGGAAGTTCGGATTCATTGAGTGATGAATTGAACCCTCTTAACGGTGATGACAACAACGTGAAGGTACAAGATGAAAGTGGTAGATCAAAACACGGAAAGAAACAGAAAACACACATGAAAGAGGAAAACTCTGATGATGAACACATGACACGAGGCGAAGACGATAATCACGACGCAGATCCGAGCAAGTCTGACGAACAGCAAGAACATCATACTACCCATCAAGAGGCTCGCCAGCAGCCTAAGTCCCATGTGTCCAGCTCGAATTCCAGATCATCTGCAATACTGCAAAGTGCTAAACAGCAAGAACATAGAATGCGAATTCATAGTGATGAAGAAACAAATGACGATAAT